TTTTTCGATATCAGTTTTGAAATCAAATAAATTTTATACCATATACCTAATCAACCTAATTGTAAGCAACCTTTTCCAACATTAAATTATAAAATAAAATCTTCCATTTTACTTAAGATATTGATTGATCATAATGATAATATAAACATCAATTGTCATTAATTTGACCATATTCACAAGTGTCAGATTTTTTTTTTGTAGATATTAATTTCTCTTTGATTTGGGACTATCCATACTAGATTAATCAAGCATTTATTTGAATGAATTCAAATGATTTTTGGCTAAAAATAAAATTTTGACTAACATAAATGGAAAATCAATCAATAATAAAAATATTTTGAAGACCAAAAGTTATATAAATAGAGCCTATCTTTAAATAAAATTTATATCATATACCTAATTATAAGTAAAATATTACAATATTAAATTATGAAATAAAATCTTACATTTGACTTAAGATATTGATTGATCATAATTGTCATTAATTTGACCATATTCACAAGTGTCAGACTTTTTAAAAAACAATAAGTTTTCTTTGATTTGAGACTATCCATACTAGATGAATCAAGCAGTTATTCGAATAAATGTAAATGATTTTTTGCTAAAAATAAAAAATTTGACTTACATAAATGGAAAATCAATTAATAATAAAAAAATATTGAAGACCAAAAATTATATAAATAGAGCCTATCTTTAAGATCTGACAAATTGAAAACATTTAACCTCCTCAATAGAATTCATACAAAAAATTACTATGGGTAGTACAAAAGCTTTGGTGACTTGTTTACTTGTAATAATATTTGCAGTTATGTTGTCTAACCACAACGTTTTGGCTTCAGGTACATTTAAATTTTGATCTAATTATCTTAAATAATTAGTGATTATTTCAATAGCGATATTCGAATACGTATAATTTGTAGTGACCATGATTTGTATATTCAGTAGCTACATTCGAACTTACATTCAAAATTTTGCTAAAAATTATTCAAGACATGTTACAGAATTGTACTTTTATTGATGTTACATACTCATGTTTATATCGACTATGTTTAATATTAATGTGGGCTTGTGTATATGCAGAGATTGAAAACGTCTCATATGACAACTGTAGGCATTTGTGTTCGGATACATACGGATGGTTTGAATGTATGAATGACTGTGAGGCAGCTGGATTTATTAATGGCGGAAAGTGTGCTTCTCCTTCTCCTAAAGCCCCTCTCAAATGTTGTTGCCAAAAGTAATATAGATTCATCCTCTCCCTAAAAATTGGCGATTCTAGCGTTGCATTTATTTTTGGGTGAATTAAATATTTATAAATGGATGACCAAAAAATTAGATTTCAGAACATGATAATTTCAAAATTAAGTAATTATGAAAGATAAAGAAACTACAAACCAAAAATATCCTTCTTCTGTTGATTTATTACAAAAGTGCCATTGAATTAAAAATTGTTTTATTATTTCAGTTTCTCATCGATACTGTTCACTTAGACGTCGATGACACTGTTCATTTCGAAGTTGATGATACTGTTCATAGTAGGATATTGTAAAACATTTGTGATTTGTGTAGATAACTATTTTATTACCTGATAAATAATATAGTATCGTGATAAGTTAAATGATTATCTATTGGTTTAACACGATAACAAAATATATATCAATAAGTTTATAAATATATCGTGTTAAAACATATTGTATCTCGATAAGTTTATAATTGATATGATAAAGTTTATATTATCATAGAAAATATTTATGGTAAGATAGTAGATATATAGATAATATTTATATTAACGTGTATAACGATGTTAACATGATAATAATAAAAGTAACAAGTGGTACTCTAGTTCTGGTCACCGACGAAGCAAACCCAGAAAACAACATAATTAAGTTTTTTGGCCGCCACTGTCAAATCTTCAATCATCACAGCTCCTCCGTTCCTATCTTCGTCTCAACTCACCACTCCATTTGATCCAACAATAATTGATAACGAGGTTAACGTAATAACGATGAAAATAACAAGTTTTGTTATAGATCTGCTCACCGATAAGATAGACGGAAAAGACGGCGATGATTATAAAACTCTTAAGCCATCTCACCTTCACCGACGCCATCACCATAAAATCCCTTTAGCTTCTTGCACCTCTCCGACGTTATCTCAATCCACGATTTTATTCACAGCACCTTCTTTTTTCCCAAACTCACCACCACCGATAATATAATCATCATCACTATCGTCGTAAATACCATCTCCACCATCGTTAAGAACCCAATAGTTTAAATAGGAATAAGCACCACTTACAATCACCACCGCAGCGGCCGTCACTGAATCGGAATAGAAACCACCACAAAATCAAATCGACTATGCATCTTTTAAACACACAAGTTTGTCTCCTCTCTTCCTCCTACATCATCACCACCGTCTTCTACTCTTTTGTTGTCATCACCATCAAGTTCTACAATTTTATTTTAGAACGATTTATTGAAAATTGTTTGTATTTGGCTATTAGAATTTTTGTTCATGTCAATTTTGATGAACACTTCGACAGAGAATGGGAAAGGAGAGAGAAAAGCTGAAAAATTAAATAATTTTTTTTTAAAAAAATGAGGACAACAACGTAAAATCCTTTACACAACATCTGACAAAACAGTGTTCATTTGTGTCAGTTAATTTTTGAGTCTTCCATGGGTACAGATTGATAATACCCTTTATTTTTCCTAAGCCATTGGACTTGATTTGTCTCTTGTGTTTACAAATAAATGTGATGATATAAAAAATATATTTATTATAATAAGTGGTATTATTTTATTTTTGAAATCTAGTATATTATAAACGTATTCTTGAATTATATATCAAACATAAATTGCATAAGAAATTAATAATGATGGACTTCCTCTTTGTTTATAACCTTACTATACTAGCCAATAAATCAATATTATTATTATGAGATATTTTGAATATGAAGATGAAGATGGAGAGATTGAATTACTAAAATATTATGATTTCAACATTAATTAATTTGTAGAGGTTTTACTGCAGTTGATTTATATATTTACAACTAATAAATGAACATATGTTAATATTTTCATATAAACAATCGAGAGCTAATGCATCGTTTCAATTGGCCACCTTATTTATATTGTGTTGTTTAACTGGTTGATTGGAACAAAAGTCATGTCTTTTATCTAAGTGTTAATTGAATACTATGTTAATCTTTTGTGCAACCTTACTACTCATGTTACCAATAGTGTCTGAACCCTAAAATTCCTTCTGTCTCCTCTGTAAATTACGTTTTTGTCCCTCCGAGCTTAATGAGCCTTTTTAGTAATCAAGGCTTCCTTTAAGCTTGTGGATATCTGTTTTGGGTCTCCTAACATATAAGAGGCAAGGCACATGTCCAACAATAAGCCCCCCCCCTTAGTCCGTCGTGCGAGAGTTTCCTTGAGTTTGGCGGACGTGTCTTTGAGGTAGGGATATGTTAGCCGGGCGCAAAACAGAGTATGCCTTGGGCGAATCAATTTGTGGTTTTTGCCCGTTTTTCAAGGTGAACCGGAACTTTCTCTGATGAATGGTGCTGTGGGCACGCTTCTCAAGGCGAACAGGACATTCACGGGAGATTTGTGAATTTGGCACGTTTTCGAGGCAAACCGAAACTTTTTCGGGTGAGTAGTAACTTTGGCACGTTTTTCGAAGTAAACAAAATCTTTCCCATGTGAATAGTAACTTCGGCAATTTTTCGAGGTGAACCGAATCTTTCCCAGGTGAATAGTAACTTCAGCACTTTTTTCGAGGCGAACCGAATTTTTTCCAGTTGAATAGTAATTTCAGCACATATTTCGAGGCGAACCCCTGGGTAAAAAGTAACTTTGGCACGTTTTTTGAGGCGAAACGAAACTTTCTCGAAGACATGCGGTTTTGGCACGTTTCTCGAGGCGAACCAGGTTGTGCATCCAAGGAATTAGGTCAACAGTTTTACCTCGGTAAATGTGCATGTCTCCTCCCTATAAATATGTCCCCCTCTCTTTGCTTTAACCTTTCTTCACTTCTTCTCCACAATAAGGTAAAAATCGTCTCTCTTATTTTTGTTGTTCTCTTTTTTTATTAAGACGTATAATTGTGACGAGAGGCCGGAGAAAGGATCTCTCGCGACACCGTGAGCCGCGCTGCACCTTGCCGAGCTGTGAGCCGGATTCGTGCCGTCCGCCACACCGTGAGCTGTGCTTCGAATGTGTCGTGAGCCGCACCGCGAGTTATCGTGCCGTGGGGGCGTTGAGACGGCGTTACTCCGTGACAAAATGGAGTCGCCGTGCCGGAGGAAGGATCTCTCGTTGTGCCAAACCTGTCCGGTCGCCGAAAGCCTTGCCGTGCTGCACCGCGCCGTTAGACAAATAACTCGCTATAAATAGCCAGAGACACTATTGGGAACAAGATCCAAATTTTGGTTTTGTTGGAGAGAGCGGAACAAACGAAGACACAGGGACACTCCAACTTCAACTCAACATCTAACTGCAATCATTGACAAGATGATTTGAAATAGGATTCCATCCATAAGAGAGTTGGGTGATCGACGCTACAATGATGGTTTATTAGTGTGGTTTGCATCTCGGAGATTCTAAGGTCCTAAATCATGTTCTTAATTAATCTTTCATCGATTTAAAGTCCTAAGTTTCTTTTCTTTTTCTACGTACAAATACCATTTTATATGTAAGGGAAAGCTTTAAAGTTTAAAGTTCTTGTAAAAACGTTTTAAGGTTTTTTTTATGTATTTTAACATTAATTCAAAAAAAAAAAGGCAGCAACGTATGTGTGTAAACTATGACTTTCATATCCGTTACAAGTATGTAACTAATTTGCAACAATTATTGTCGCATGTTCGTCACTAAATGTGACAAATTTTGGTCATAATTTTTTTCATCACGATATAGTATCTAAATATGAATTTGTGATAAATAAAATTGGTTATAATAGCGTATCTAAAAATGTCACAGATTTATGACGAAATTTTATGTCTCAATTTTTTTTAGTCTAGATTTCGACATAGACTAAAATTTATAGATGTTCGTGTGTCCATTGCATTTGATGGAGAAGCTTCCACGACTTGTATAATCTGTCTTGCCGTCTTAGGAAGAGTGAACTAGAGAAGAATAAATGCATTTAGAAGATAAATGATGGAGTAACTTCACATTGTTGGAAACACCAATCAAATTTAAGCTTTAGCAAGTACAAAATCCAAACACTGCCGAGTTTTTTCAAAATACCATTTTAAGTCACAAGATAAAAGACTAAACAAGCAATAACAAGCAGAAACATAGGTATAGAAGACTCGAGTCCCAAGTAAGATGAATTGCAGTCGCATGTCCCGGGTAAAGCTGCTCCGGTCCCCCATAGTAAAAATGCGTCCCAAGTTCAGGGTTGTTGGACTTCTTGGCGCCGTAGTAATCGGGGTGACTTCCTCCTACTGTGAGATTTTGAAGTGGCTGGAAATCATTTTCGGATAGTGCAACTTCTATGTTGCAGATATAAGCGGCTTTTCCAAAACCGCTGTCCGGAAGATAGCCGGATCCCATTTGGGTTGTCGTGTGGCGGCCGTAAGTGTGTTTGTTCGTTATCTCGCCACCCCACTCCACTCTAGCTGCGTAATCAGTTTGAAGGTTGAAAAGAAAGGCCGGCCAATATCCGACCGGCTCGAGGACGCCGACATGTCCAAGCCCGACACCCATCCACCAACTCCCGAGCCTTTGATCCTACAATCGTGTTTACGTAATTTTGATTAATTTACAATTATGTAATAATTAAAACAAAAATAAAGTAAATTCGAACCTTCCATATCTTAACAGTCAGCTCAACTTGAGTGCCTCCGACAACAGACGTAGGAGAGATTGCGCCTTCAACCACAATTGCGCGACTGGTTTGTACAAAGCCACCGCATCGCAGGTTGTAACATCCCGTCAGGTTGTATGCATCCGACTATATCACATTATCAAATATAATTGAATTTCTTTTTAAGAAAATTATTACCTCAATAATATTTTCAAACTTTTTTTTGTCATCTGATTTAATTTATATTAGAAACCAAAAGGGAATTACACAAGTAAAATACAGTTTAATTCGCCTTATTCTATCAAATCATATTTTCAATTTAGTTCATAATCCTCTAACTGGATCTAGCTTATAAAATATCCGTACATATAATATTACTCTTTTTTAAATGATACTCTTTTCTACTTCGAGAGGCACAGAAACTTCTTAACTATTAATTTCGTCAGTAATACTTGGGATTAAAACTATCATATTGAAAGTGAAATAAAACAAAATAACACATACCGTCCAATAGATAAAAAATCTCGGCTGGTAGTCATAATATATCTTCGGATAAACCTAAATGATAATCAAAATTTATTAGTTATTAATCATTTTGCATATATACATAAGAAATTTAAGACAATACAAGAAATATTTGTAGTTACTACTAGTGGACAAATGTTTATGATTAGAAACCGACCTGCCAGCCCGCCTCAATGCTGTTGATATTACTATCTTCATATGTACCTGAGACCAGCCAGAGTTGACCCAAGCTGAACTCGTCATATGTTTCTACTTTTGGCTGCCACACATTCATTGTCGCCTGAGTTCCATAGATCTTTTGTTCCCTATTATACATACGGCCGATTGCATACTGATAAATTGATGAGAGTAAGAAAAATTATAATAGACTCTCATAAGAATAAAGTTATAAATTACATTCTCTTATATAGAGATGAGATTTCCTAATTTAAGATAAATATAAATGTAAATAATATATTTAGAGATAATGGTAAATATCCTAAACTAAGATATGATAATCTTCTAGATCTTTCTTGATTTTCATGATTTCCATATTCTTGTGCAATCATCTCGACCGTCGATCTTGGTCGATCTCCGGTTCTCCCAATACATATTGTATATCCAAAAACAATCGAACAAAGTTATTTATAACATATGCCACATATGTAAATTGTTTATGATTTATGTAAATAAATGCATTTTTTTATCTTCTGAAAAGAAAATTCATATGGTTAACTATGATGAATGTGGTGATATGTGTTAATCCAATCTGGTTTAGTATTAGATTGTAAAGATGACAAAAACAAAATATGACACAAGTGGCCAGACCCAGCCCACTAGTAGAGTTTGTAATTTAAGCCCAGTAAATCAGAACCCATTAAATAGAGCTTGTTAATTAAACCCACCAAAATGAGAACCCACTTCTAGAATTTGTAATTTAAACCGAAGAAAAGCGAAGCCACTAATAGAATTTGTTGCATAAAGCCCACCAAAATGAGAAGTCCAACCAAAGATAAAACGAATAGTCATATGGAAAACATTTAGCGTGTTAAAAAATTCATTCTTAATATATTTCCATATGCATCGACATTCATGGTCAGATTTATGTTTGGTTCACATTAGATGAATTCATGAATACATTCATTGTTAAACTGCCTTAATGGAAAATATTTAGTTAAATAAAACACAAACAAATACGTACCTCATGTCCACCGGTAACTCTATCCCCGGCGTTAGAACTGATGACAGTCTCGTTCTCATGAGAAATTAGCCTTCGAACTGGAATTGATCCCTCCGGACATTTTGTGCCGTTCTGGTGCCAGACTTGCCATCCATATAATGCATCTTCTTCTTTTTTTCCCGCAGATGGTATAACCGTTGGTCTTTCCTGTATCATTTATTTACAAAAGAAAAATAAAAAACATTACTAATTTTTCCCCCGTAAAATATATATATATAACACATGCATAAGTAGTATGTCCGTTGGTCTTTCCTCTATCATAATTGAACCAGTGGTAACTATCGGTTCAGTTAAAGGCTTAAAGCATAAGACTTGGAAAGGCTCGTTGCTGGTTTTTCTGTTATCTTGCTTGATTTCTTCAGATTTTTTTTTTACTATTATTATGTTTATTTGTGATTTTTGGCGTGTAGTTTAAAAAATAAAAAATAAACAAACGAGAAAAATCATTTTTTTTTTTGTGAATACCGGAAAATCATATAATAACCTGAATTATATGGTCTTTGAGCAAGGGATGAGTAAAAGCAACTTGTTCTTCTCGCTTGATGCAATCAATCATATCCCCGTCCGGGCTCTAATAAATTTCAGAGAAAACAATAGGTCAACATAATTAAACTATATATGTATACATTTGTAAATACAAACAGAAATATATGAGAGTCGTCGGTTACGTACCTGAATGGACAAGACTGGAACTGGGACTCCTCCTAGTGGAGTGAGGAGTCGACCGAGAGTCAGAAGCAGAAGCAAAAACTGGACTGTGCTCCCCATTTCTTACAGCTACCTAGCTAGTATCTTTTTTTGGTACACCCATGGTCGAAGTTTAGTTCGCAGGTTTCCAATATTGGACGTCCAAAAGACCTAGACGAAACTCAAGACTCAACTCCTCATCAAGAAGATCAGAAACTCAAGTTAAAAGGGAAATACATCTTCTTCTTCGCCGTAGGCTTGCTAGTTTGGATCGTGCATCAACAGTCCCAAGTAGAGCAGCCACTACGCATGAGACGTATCTATCGCTGTGGTTCGGCAATTTCCAGCAAAATTAGCAATTTCACCTATCCCATCATTTGTGTGTTGTCTCCTCTTGTTAACAGCTTTGGCTATGTGTGCAAAAGCCACTCTGTAACTCTTCTGTTTCTTTATAAATAAGACGGTATCGTTATTAAAAAAAGAATAGAAAAGAGAAAATTAGAGGATCGGATTATCGGAAGCCGGAGGAATTATGTTCTAAATATTAGGCAGAGGAAAGTTAAGTTTTCTTCTGAAAAAAAATAATTCTTTGAAAACAAAAAAAATAAAAGTGGTGGGTCCAAAGATTAAGACAGTATTTTTTCTAGATTCGTTTGGACATCCAAAATTGGAAACCTGCGAGCTAAACTTCAACCATTTGGGATCTGTTAAAGTCTGTATTCATGCTTTTCTCTCTCTCTCTCGACAAATAAATCCATGTAATGTTTTTTTTTTTTTTTTGGTAAAGTCCATGTAATGTTTATTGTTTAGTTTTATTTGATTTTATTTTGATAAGTGTTATAGTAATGTTTATTAGAACACTTTTACAAAGTAAACAAAAGTCTACTAACGCATCAATAATTGGTCACTAACTTTCTTTACGTTGGACATGGGAACTTTGTTTGATCCAATGATCTTCAGAAAATCAATTAGTGTTTAATTTGTTAAGAAAATAAATTAGAATATAGGGTAGTAATTTATTGATCCGTGTTTAAGGTTGATGTTGTTTTGGTAATAAGATAAAATTATATACCATGTGATAGTTTGGTCGCCATCCCTAATTGATATATCTTCTTCTTTGTAAAATATAATTGACATATATATTTGTATCAATTGTACATGTTATATCTTAAATGTGTTCAGCTTATTTTACGTGTTCATAAGAAAAATAACTATAATTAAATTTTAAATTAGTTATTGTACAATTACGAGCAACTAAAAAAAATACAGTACTTAGCTTAGAATGTGGCAAGCAGCCGTCAAAAATATACAGGCGACAATACTTTTTAAAAATTACCTCCTTTTCACCACAATATTTTATTATAATGTTTTCTCGTCATTTGAAAAGTTTGCTGATTGGTATAATAATTCATTAGCCTCAAAACAGCAAAAGTAAGGAAACAATGATATTTTTTATATGGATACATATTCTATAGTAATTTATTTTTATTCTTTTGTCAGAATATATTCTAAAATTTATTTTCTTACAAACCATTTTCATCCATTCGAGGATAATGCTCAGACATTTATTTTTGTAATCAGAAAATTCCACGACCAAAACAGAAATTAGTTAAACTTATAAGTCCTAATTTTTTTAGAAATTTAAAGTCTTTTGCTAATTAAAGCGGTTATGGACCATGGGTTGACAACGAACAGTCAATAATTATGATAGTATTTAATTAGATGACTAGCTAGATGTAATGACGAGCTAGCTACTATATCATCTCTATATATATAATATATTTAACTATGCACCAATCGTAATTTTCTCACTGTACCACCACTCGTTTGTTATAGAGATGTGTGATTTATATTACTAAGCTAGCTTTTTACTTTACGAACCTTAATACATATACATAACTTCCACCGTCCCACGTAAATGTAATGTACATATATACGTATCATTCTTTCAAAAAATGAGAACATACTCACCAAAAAAAGAAATTAAAAAGTTGACATATATATTGAGATTATCATATATATACTCCTTCTGTTTCTAATTAATCCCAAAACAAAAATTTAAAATTGTTTGAAAACAAAGTTTTTTTATATATTCTTATTAGTTAATGATAATAGATTGTAAATTTCAAAATTTTTTTGAATATTACTGGTTTAGAATGATAGAAAATTGTTAACTAATCATAAAAGGTGTATTTATAATCAATTTTTTTATTTTCTATTTTGTGTAAAAAGTTTAAAACTTGGATTAATTAGCAACAAAGGAATTATAATCTATTTTGTTGCGCAAATATACTATTGAAGAATTATCATATACCAGTAAAGAATTATGTTAGATAGTACATCTTTTTTTATAATCGAGCCTTCAAGTAATAGTGCGTTTCTTGTAATAGCCCATTATTGGTCGTACGACTCATACCAATTGGTTGTAATACTTACTAATAATCAAGAGTTTAAAAGATGTAAGAAGCTTTGCTCGCACGAACCTATTATGGAAACACGTTTACATGAAGTATACACCACCGGTTGGGCCTAAACATAGCAACCTAACTTTTCCAATAAAACTAAGATAAAAATATTCCTTCTCCTATACTTTTGTGTAACAGGTTCAGAAAGTTAAAGCTCTTAGCACGAAAAACAAAAGAGCATCTAATTGAGCTTATGTATGTAAATTAAACAACGTAGACGTAAAGTACTAAATTCTTATTAGAGATAATTAAAGAATGAAATCAAATGGAGAAAAAGAAGATGCAAAAGCTACTAATTAAAAAAAAAAACAAATTACCAAGTTTTGTTGCTGCAACCTCCATGAGGATCTAGTTGTTTGTTGTGGAACCAACATATCAACTTAATTGGAGTATTACTTATATTAAAAAAAAAGAACTTAATTGGAGTATTATTTTTCTAAATAACGTGCTATCTAGTAAATTAAGACGTTATTTAGAATAAAACAAAATGTTGTATATATAAGATACAACATATTCTTTTACAAATACTGTAAAACAATTCAATAATCACTTACTTAATCAAAAAGATGTTTATGGCAAATTGGCAATTTAGCTAGATTTTTATTTTCAAGTTCTAATCTAGCTGTCATCGTGAAACAAACAAAAAAGTAAAATAATAGTAGTTACCATTTTTTTTAAGTAGTTACAAAAATAAGTACAAATTTTGAGTAATTAAAGAAATAGATACATATGGCTTTAAGCCTTTTACGGATGGCTGATAGAAACTGATGCATGAACTCAAAGACAAATACGAACAAAATGGATCAATCTGACTGTGTACAACCTTTACATATTAGGTGGCCAATTTATTTATTTTTTTGTTGGTGGCCAAAATTTATTTTGCACTTTTTTTGCGGTGCGTCTGGTCTCTTCTAGTGGGTCGGGGAATCAAGAACACCTTGGTTTTAGCTTCCCGTTTCGAATCAGCTTGGTCACGAATACTATAGAACCTCTCCTTTTCTTTTTGCTACTTTTGTTTCTGATCCGTCCACGTTCCCTTTTTTCACTCTTTTGAACTCGACTCGCTAGCACGTTTCTAAAGATTTTGGTTAGCAAGTTAACCCCATCTATTTTACTATGAGAGTCTAACAAACTGGTCTATGCATGAGTCATTACTTACCACTTGGTTCCAATAGCAAAAAAAAAGGTATATATTTTGTCATTTTGTGGTTAATTAATGGTTAAATTATTGGTTGACAAAAGATAATGGTAAAAATAATGGTTAAATTATTGAAATGACTTAAGCAATCTGATGCAACTTTAGATAACCTGAGTTCATTCGAAGTGACTTCCCAAATATTGATTCTTTGTTTTTATTCCTTTTTTTCAAGGTCTCAAAGATAGGCTTTTACATTGTAAAGCCAACAATTTCAATATCTAATGATTTTACCATTCATAGCAAACAAAAAAAAAAAAGGTTAAATTAGTTCCAAAGTATTCTAACAGCAACAAAACCCCTCAAAGAAACGATTTCGAATTTCTATCTTAAACTTGTTTCCCAATCATTTGTTATAATTAATCAGTCCCCTAATAAACAAAACAATTTTTTTTTTTTTTTGTAAAGTGTAATTGTGTATTGCAAATTTGCAATAGATTATGTTAGAAAAATTTAAAACATTTACATGCTCCGACCAACCTTCTTAACATGTAACTTCCAGTCTAAGAAACTTCAAAACCAAGCAAAAACCTCACCAAAAGCAACACTTCGCCTACCACCAAATTCCGAAAACCTAATTCCTCCTAAAACGAACACGACACTACTCTATACATATATGTTTGTATATATAGTTACACAAACAATGAACGCACTGATAGAAGAAGAAAAAGACAAAATATTGATCAACCATGGTTTCAAAACCGCTATTCTCCCTGCTGCTTCTCACGGTGGCATTAGTCGTGTTTCAAACCCGATCCCTAGTCAACGCTGAAGATTCCGAGCCTTCGAGTTCCGCGAGAAAGCCTCGGGTGAAGATCGTCAAGGGGAAAACGTTATGCGACA